AAGTTTCAAAATCTCCCCTCCCCCCACCGCATCCCAAAACCAGTCCAACTCGTCCCTGCCTCCCTAACCTGTTCTTCCTCCCACCTATCCCCTCCTCCCACCTCAAGCCGCACCTCCATCTCCTACCGACCAACCTCATCCCGCCCCCTTGACCTGTCCGTCCTCCCTGGACTGACCTATCCCCTTCCTAACTCCCTACCTACACTCACCTTTCCTGGCCCCATCCCCGCCTCTTCGACCTGTTTGTTTCCTCTCCACCTATCCTCTCCTCTATCCCTCTTCTATCCGCCTCCCACTCTCTCCCTATTTATTTCAAAACCCCCTTCCCCTCCCCCTTTTCTGATGAAGGGTCTAGGCCCGAAACGTCAGCCTCTCTGCTCCTATGATGCTGCTTGGCCTGCTGTGTTCATCCAGCCCTGCACCTTGTTGTCTCATTTACCTCCTCCCTCCCCAGTATCCAAGGGCCTAAACATACCTTCCAGGTGAAGCAACACTTCACCTGTACTTCCCACTACTGCATTCGCTGCTCACAGTGTGGTCTCCTCTATATTGGGAAAACGAAGCGTAGACTTGGCGACCGCTTCGCAGAAATCTACGTTCTGCTCGCAAAAGAGACCCTGAATTACCTGTTCCTGCCACTTCAATGCACCACCCTGCTCCCTGGCCAACATCTCTGTCTCCGGCTTGCTACAGTGTTCCAGTGAATCCCAACGCAAGCTGGAGGAACAATACCTCATTTTCCGCTTGGGCACCCTACAGCCCTCCAGACTCAATATTGAGTTCAATAATTTTAGGGCCTAAACTCTCCCATGTCCCAGCCCCCCACCACACACACCAGGCCTTGTAACCACATAGCCTGCCATTACGCACCCCCTGTTGTTAGTCACTAACAGTCCCCATTAACAACTACTCACCCTCCCAGCCTGATCGTTAGCAACTCCTTTGTCTGTTCAACTGTTCTTCTCTCTCTTTAGGCTCTATCCTATCGTTTACTCCCTACCCCACCCACCTCCCTATTTTCTGCATATAAACTGACATTTTCCCAGCCACCATCAGTTCTGAGGAAGGGTCACCGGACCCGAAACATTAACTCTGTTTTCTCCTTCACAGATGCTGCCAGACCGCTCAGCTTTTCCAGCAACTTTGTTTTTGTACAGAGCCAATGCAAACTTCTTCTGTTCTTACATTTTTCATGATAATTTTTGCACACGAAACAAGTCAAGGAATACAGGGATTGGGCAGATAAGTAGATTTGATGTCAAAGATCAGCAAAGAGCTTATTAAACGGTAGAGCAGGCTCAAGGGGCCAAGTGCGGCGTACTTTTATTTCTTAAGTTCTTATATTTGGGCACAAACATAGATGTTTCAGAAGGCTATAAACTCGAGGGTTATTTCAAAGGTACCTCGGCAAAAGGCTTTGTGTAGCATCTGATTCCACTTGCCGTTGCTCATACAGTGTACTTCTTCCATGATTCCGGACAGGCTGTAACCGTGACGACAGCTCAATTTGCACATGCTCCCCGGTTTCATTGCAGCTTTCCTGCAAACACTGGGGGAAACCAGCACTCCATTCGGCTTTTGGATGGCTGGGCAACGGATTTCTGTTGAAATGCAAAAAAAAACCTTTCACAGATAACAGTAATAATAAATTCAACAAAACAGATGAAAGCTGAGTGAAAACATTTATATAGAAACCATGCATATGTTCTTATATTTGGGTTGCATATGCACGACTGGATTTCAGCATTGGTCTCAGGTGTTAGTTTTCCAGATAAAATCTTTGATTTGGATGTTGACTGCAATGATAAATATGCTTTCTGCATTACTGGTCCTGAAAAATCAAACGTTACTGAAGGAAATCTAACATTCGTCTTGATATATTGCATTGCAGGATAGAGAGAACACAGAGAGGAAAAGGCAGCGCAGTTGATAGTGATTGTGTTATTGCCCATGTCTTCAAGGTGTCTGCCCTATCACACCCTTTCAGAATCTTAAGGACTTCAATCAACTTGGCCTTCAGTCTTCTCTTTTTTAGAAAAAAGATCTCCAGCCAGTTTAATTTTTCCTTGTACATATAATCTCTTCGTTCTGGTATCATCCTTTTCCAATGTTAATATGCCTCTAGCTTTTTCATAGATAGAGTCATAGAGATGTACAGAGTGGAAACAGACCCTTCAGTCCAACTCATCCACGCCGACCAGATATCCTAAATTAATCTAGTCCCATTTGCCAGCATTTGGCCTATCTCCCTCCAAACCCTTCCTATTCATGTACCCATCCAGATGTCTTTTAAATGTTGTAATTGTACCAGCCTCCATCACTTCCTCTGGCAGCTCATTCCGTACATGCACCACCCTCTGCATGAAAATGTTGCCCCTTAGGTCCCTTTTAAATCTTTCCTCTCAAGCCTAAAACGTATGGCCTCTAGTTTTAGATTCTCCTACCATTGGAAAGAAAACCTTGGCTATTCACCCTACCCACGCCCCTCATGATATGTAAATCAGAACTGTACACAGCATTCAAAGTGTGATCTAGGCAAGATTTTACACTAATTTAAGATAACTGCACTTGATTATCACCTTAATAATAGAATACTGGGCTTTGATTATTTTTATGGACATATTAATCTGTTATAAATTGATCATGTGAGTGCTTTTTCACACATTGAGTGTTTTGGGTTCGAAATGCACTCTGTAAGTGTGATGGAGACAGGTTCAATTGATGCATTCATGAGGCCATTAGATGATTATGTGAATAGAAACAATGTGCAAGGTTTTGGGGAAAAGGCAGGAGAATCGTCATTTGGAGAGATGACGCAGATACGATTGGCTAAATGGCCTACTGCTGTGATTCTGTTATTCTTTGCTGTATTTATGTCTAGTCCCAGATCCTTCTGCACTCCCACACCACTTGGATAAATATCTTCCAGGCAGAACGTGGTCCACTTTTTCCATCCTATTGAAATGTATTATCTGTTGTTTATCAATATTTTAAGCTCATTTGCTAATTTTATGCTCATTCTGCAAGTTTATTAATTCTTGTATATTGTTTTAGGAGTTCTCTGCATTAATGGGTTAGGGTTGTACAAACACTTTGGCATGGCTGCAATGTTAATAATGACAGCAGCTGATTGTGACCAGAAATCGGCTCAGTGTCTATTTCAAGGAGTTTCATGGGTGGTTGGTTGCTCTATGTGATTTCGAGCCAGTTAGCTCATGTAATTCTATGCTACTTACCTCAGTATCAATGCTGCTCCGCTTACATTATCGTGCCCTTGGGAGTGGTGGAGGTACTCCCTATTGTAAAGGCCTCCATGGATTCCCTGTAGTGCCCTCTGTGTTTCCCACTCACTCACTCAGTACTCTTTTACCCTACCTTAACTACCAGTAAAACTGTGCCAGCCACTCAATCCCTCCCATTGTCTTACTCCTGTAGAAAGCATCCTACAATAGAGTGGAGAGAGCCAAAATAGACGGTGGGGTGCGCGACATATGTGTCCTCATTGTTACAAAGAGAGAACTTGCCTTAGTGGGCGAGGACTGTGAAGGCGAGGACTGTGAACTTGCCTTCGTGGGCGAGGACTGTGACCGCGTGTGGTGTTGCCAAAATCTCCATGTTCCGCTAACTACGTAAGAATCATTGTCTGTTGGTATCCTGCTCTCTTAATATCGCCACTGCGAATGTATAGTTCACACATGCAAACTTCTACCCCGATTTTGCTCCCTCTCCTGCAACAGCATGTGCACAATCTCTGCCACAAAGAGACTGGTCACCGAAGACACCTCTTGTCCTCTACCTCTGAGGAAGGCGACACACATTCCTCAGGGGAAGCACTGGCATGACAGTCTCCACAACCCTCCACCAGCTCAGATACTGACAGCTCATTGGGTACATTAGCTGGAGTACAGTTGGGAGCCCAGTCTGGTGGGCACATCACTACCACATCTCCACAGCTGGTGGAGGAAGAAACACCTCAGGTCACTGGCACTGGAGGACTATGGAGATCCTGTGAACTGACTGTACCCCACCTCCACCAACAGTCTTGGACAGATATCCTCAACTGATGACAGATCATACCTCTGGCTGATGTATGGTGAAGCCGTGGATTGGTTGAACTGGATTTTCAGGATTGCCCATGGCCAACACCCTGGACTGTAGAGATAAAAAGCGCCCCCACACCCCAGACCCTGGATGCCTCAGGTGACTGACTGATCATCTCCAAGCACCTATACTGATGCCCTTGACCTACTGTGCTGGTAAATTAAAGGTCGGGTCACAATAGCCCCAGACGACCACAGACTGCTCTCACTTTAGAGAGAGAGAGAGAATGAGAACTGGTAGTAAGTTTAACCTGAGGGTTACCACACCCAGGCTAGATTGAGAATGTGGACCTATGATACTGACCTCAACTGGTGCAGGAATCGAACTCATGCTATTGGAGTCACTCTGCATTGAAAATCAGCCATCCAGCCAACTGAGCTAACTGACCCCAACCATGCTGGAACCCCCTGATTGAAGGCTGTCACCACTTACCTTACTGAGGACTACTCCATACAGACTTTGAAAACATGGCCATTTGGTTGGTGCAAATGCAGTGGGTTGGCCATTTGTGCTACTGGGCCTTGGTGTAGATGTCAGATTGATGTATCACGGTGATAAACAGCAATATGTCCACCTCCTAGACTGAACATTGCAGAAAAACATGTCTAATTGACTCACCTCTGTGCATCTGTGCTAAACAACAAGGCAAGATGGAAGCAGTGTGAGCACGTACGCACTGTCTAAGGGGACAAATGGCAAAAAGTCAAAGTAAGGTAAGGTAGAAATTCTATGGGTATCACAGTAGACACAAAGAGAGTGGCAAGTGAGAAGTCCTGAAGTGCACCCTGGTCCAATCCATGAGTTGGTGCCTGCCCTTACACACAATGTATCCTGGCAGCAGGGTTACAATGAAAGATGCTGGTGTGCTCCAAAGTCCAGCATTGAAGTGGTGAACTCTATTCTCAGTGAGCTGGAGGCAACATTCCTCCTAAGTTGTGTGCGTGCACAGCTGCCCCAAAGATCCAAGCAGAGCAATTAATGTGGGCATGCTGATTTCAGCATTGATTTCTGATTCCAGAGATTATTGATGAGTACGGACTTTGGAGACCCGCACAGCCGGTTGGAGGTACCTGTTCTGACTTTCATGCTGGCAGTTGGCACCACCTAGTTACTCTGTGCTGGATGGGGGAATAGGTAACAGCATATCAATGAAGTGAGATCAGATACTACTGACAACATGCAGATGGTCACAAATAGCCCTTTCGCTGCTCGCTGGCGAGATTCTCGTATCGCCGTTCAAAACCTGATGGCAGAATAGGACATTTTTCTCTCAGTGTTGAGAATCTCAACTTTTCTGAACTTGCCATATCTTCCCACTGACTCATGATTGTGTGGGCTGGGAAAATTCAGCCTAATATATCACATTCTACCCATGAAGAGGCTTAGCAACATAAGATCGCTTCTCTCCAAATATGCATTAACTTTTCTGCTGCAATTGCCAAGAACGCCAGCAGGTGGCACCGTGTTTACTGTAAATGAAAATCAAGGAAGAGTATTTGCAGTGACCAGCAATGTGATGTCATCAGGCACTTCTGGTTCATAACTACATCCTTATTCAAAAGAAATTTATTCCAGGAGGGTTAAGATGGTGAACATATGTGACTTAAACTGTTAGAGGCAAAAACATACTGGGCCATGCTCTCAGTGCGGCATCACCATCCACTCCATTCCAACATTACTGTCCTCTGTTTATTTCCAAAGAATTGTAGCCTTTGGGTCTGAGTCAGCATTTAAATAAATCCGTGGTTATTTCAAGGGAAGTCTGATGGGAGGAGTCAACTAGTAATCAAGACTCCATGAGTCTATACGAAAAGTGTAAATGCCTTATCCAAGCACCAACATGGTCAGTTAGCCTCTTCTCATTAACACAATGTGGAGCTGGAGGAGACTCCAGCATCGGCAGTTTTTACTATCTCTGAGCCTCTTCGTATTACTGTGACTACATTTCTTCTATAAACTCAAAAATAACAGATTTATTGTAGGCAGCAGGTATTCTTACAATAACTGGCAAAACTAACCATCAACAAAGTTGCAGGATCAAGCTATATCCTCTTCAATACAAATGCACACGCATTCATACACAGGACAAGAAGACAGAGATGCAAAGGTATCATGGATGGGAAACAAATAGGGAAAAAGGGATCACACTCCTATAAATCCAGGGTTCGAGTGCAGAAGACAGAATGGATCGATTTCTCACATTTTCTTGATTGCCTGTTGATGGAATCTGATTGTTTTCAATTGCACAGTGATGGAAGCTTTCAAATTTAGCTGGGAAATTGATAGAAGCCCTGATATTTGAAACTGTCAGGATTCACAAACACTTCATTGAGATAGAGAGACAGACAGAGAGAACTCCTCTCATTTCAAACCTCTCCAGAAAGTATTTGTACTTTTTAACTGCCTAGCGCACAGTTTTGGTCACTTTACCTACTCAATCAATGTGTAGCTCACTGAATGTGTAAGTCTTTTGTTCTCCTCTGTCTTTGAAGAATGTCCTGTATCTCAGAATAGTCAGACAATAGATGCGCTGGACGAGTTTGTTCAAATTTACCTTTCAAGTATAATGCATGCTGGGAATGTTAATACTTTCTCCATTAGTGCTGCACGAAATGCAGCAAAGCAATGAAAAACATCTTGTTTTGTTACTCAACATTTAATCATATTGATTTGATAATACATTCCATAGGTTCTGCTAGACCATTTTAATGTAGGTAGTGGGGTCACGATGTGATATGATCACTCCCCATTTGGGACAAATGTCCTGAATGGTATACCCGTATGTTGTGGTCCATTCCCAGGTAAGTTGTGACAATTATTCACTTGAGAGATGTGAGTGTCACTAGCTGGGCAGCATTGATTGCCCGTTCCTAATTGCCCTTGAGAAGGTAATAGTAAGAAACAAATAAAATCCTGATGGGACTGGACAGGCTAGAAGCAGAAAGAATGTTACCGATGTTGGGGAAGTCCAGACTAGGCATCACAGACTAAGAATAAAGGGTAAGCCTTTCAGGACTGAGATGAGGAAGAATTTCTTCATTCAGAATGGTGAACCTGTGGAAATCTCTACCACAGGAAGCTGTTAGGGCCAGTTCAATAGATATATTCAAGAGGGAGCTGGACATGGCCCTTGAGGCTAAAGGAATCAAGGGGTGTGGGGAGAGGATGGAAATGGGATACTGAAACTGCATGATCAGACATAATCGTATTGAATGGTTTTGCAGGCTCGAAGGCAAAATGGCTTATTCCTGCTCCTATTTTCTATGTTTCTAATTACAATCGTTTTTGGGCTTGCTAAGTTACAACGGCTGATTTGTCCCAAATCTTGCAGCTATTGTTAAGCTGTTGCACAACGAATTATGCCAAAAGAAGAATTGGAAATGGGAAGATCACTGTGAATGAGTCTTTACCCAAAGTGGATTAATTTATGTCAATGACCTGACCCATTTTGACCCAAAGTTACCATTGCAACTAGCTTGCAATGCTAGTATAGAATGGGAGTAGCCATTTCTCACATATTGCCCAGTGCCGAAGAGAAGCCAATAGTTTTCGCATCAAGGTTGTGCGACAGCAGGTGTTTTATTTTGGAGATATTTATTTTATATGCAGGAAGGTTAGAATAAGCTGTTTCCCATCCAAAAATGGCCGATGGAGGTCACCATTACGTCAAATGAATGGACTCTTAGAGCGATAATCCACTGTACTTATACAAATACCCATCCCAGAGGGTGGTTAGAATACTTGAGAGTAGTGTGGCAGCTTTTAAGAGCAAGGGGTACGGAGAGAAAGCGGGAGCGGGATACTGAAACTGCATGATCAGCATGATCATAATGAATGGTTGTGTAGGTTCAATGGGCCGAATGGCCTACTCCTGCACCTATTTTCTATGTTTCTGTGTTAACCTTGTTGCCTGCAGAATAAACATCTCTATAATAAAGCCTCTGCTATTTATTGCTTCAGCCTCCTGGTCCTTCTTGGAATCTATTAAATTGGGTAAGAAAGCCTGTCCTGGATTCCTTATTGGGTTTATTAGTGACACTCATATTGATGACACCAGCATTCTGGTCTCCTGCAGAAGTGGAACCATTTTCTTTACATCTATCCTTTTGAAACCTTCATAATTTTGAAGACCTTCATTAGATCGCCACTTAATCATTTCCTCTAGAGAAATGATCTCCAGCATGCTAAATCTTTCCTAATACAAATAACTCATGGAATATGAAATGTTAGGCATTATTGCCCAGGAATTAGTACTGAATTGCAGATTTTTTTAAAACTTTTTATGCAGATGGAATAAAATGCTACATCTTTGACAAGATAGTCATCAGAAATGTGTGAAATGGCAAGTGAGAGGGAAAGGAGACAAAACAAAGCTTGCACTCGGAGTCCCATTATCTCCTGGGGCACTGTGCTCCACGTGCTCGAAGGTCCGTGGGCCAGAAAGGTTCAGTCACATGAAGACCCATGACAGAGACTTGTCGGTGCTCTCGTAATGGACCGGCCAGGTCACAATACTGTATGGGCTGCTGCTCATGGTGAATGTTGTTGCCACCATCTTGTTCAAGTGCAGGAAGGGACATGGCCTAGTGCGGCAGTGGACAACACTTCCTGGTCTAACTAGAAGAGTTTCTTGTAGTTAACAAGATATAGGTTATTGCTGTTCCAACGAGTCATCGGTTATGTTCATGTGATAGACATTGTTACAGAGACTTTGAGGAGAACCAAATATTCAGTCTCACTCCTTCAAGATCATAAAAACATAGAAACTTGGAGCAGAAGGAGGCCACTCAGCCCTTCAAACCTGCTTGGCCTTTCAATGTGATCATGGCTAATTCTGTACTTCAACGCTATATTCCTGCTATCTCCCCATACCCCTAGATGCCTTTAATATCTAAGAGATGGATCTATTTTTTTTTTAATATATTCAGTGATTTGGCCTCCACAACCTCCTGTGGCAGAATTCTACAGGTTCACTACTCTTTGAAATGAAGAAATCTTTCTGTGTCCCAGCCTTAAACGGCCTAGTCCATATCTTGAGACTGTGACTCTTTGTTTTAGGCTCTCCGTAAGAGGACACATCCTCCTGACATCTGGTCTGTCCAACCCTGTTAGAACTACATAAATTTCAATCAGATCCCCTCTCATTCTGCTAAGCTCTCGTCAGGCCAGGGACAGTGACCAACATTTACACAGTAGATAATGAATTGAATGCTGTCCTGAAACCTGCGAGCCATTCCCCAGACTTACCAACGCATTTTGGCACCTTCCTATCCCACAGCATGTTCACCAGGCAAGTGAGTTTTGATCTTCCCTCCAACACGTAGCCTTTGTTGCAGGTCACATGGCAAACAGTCTTGTAGGAGGTGCCGTCAGCAGAGCAGTTTAGAGATCCATGCTCAGGCTTCCGTAACCTGGGGCAGGCGCGAACTACACAGAATGGGAGGAACAGTCAGAAAACAAATTGCAGGCTCCTTAAAACTCAAATGATTGAATTTTCCTTTTTTTGAGACTAAGTGTGAAGGTGGATCTAAAGGATGGAGGAAGGGACTTCCACTCGGCGTGGAGCAACTTTCCGACATAATTACAATCTAATCAGCTCATTACGTATAAATTACATGGATAAAAATCCCCAATATTATGGGCAAGAAGTATTGACCCTTCAGGCTACACATTTCAAAGGCTCCTAGGCAGCACGTCACTCTTTGCAACCCAAGAGTACCACACTAAATTAGGGTTTGTCACCACGACCCACCCCTGGAGAGGTCTGAGGCCACAGGCTACATCACACGAGTGTTGGCTCCCCAGAGGTTACCCTGAAGACTGGCCAAGAGGAAACAGAAGCTCTTTGTCCTGTGGAGGGTAACAGGAGCCTATCCTGACTGACGACAGCGGCTTGGTCAGAGGTGACTGCAGAGATCAGTGGCCATGGGAAGCTCAAGAGAACCTGGCTCCAGTGCCACAAGAGAATGAACGATCTGCTGCTTTCTACCAGGGAATGTACCACTGTCTGATCAATGCTTCTTGCCATCTATGAGTGGAGAGTCACACTAACTCAAAACATTAACTCTGTTTTCCCTCCACGGATGCTGCCACATCTGCTGAGTTTCTCCAGCACTTCCTGTATTTGTCGCAGTAACTCTTCTGGTTGGGTTAAAATATCTGTCTTTGAAAGTCAGCTGACTGGACCTAATTAAGACAATATGTCAAAGCAAATAGAAAGACTCTAGATGCGTGCCCACTGTCAGAAGAACAAACAGATTGGACCATTGGCATCACCATTGGCATGGATATTAGAATCTATTGGCATCAGCATAATGTGAAAGCATCTTAGAAGATCACATTCCTTCTTTTGAACTATTTCCATAACCCGCATCAAATTCAGAAAGCAGAACACCGTAGTTAATAATAAACAGTGGACAGCAGTCTCTGGGGGGTCATTGTTGAATCTTAAGGACTCCCCTTATTTTGACAGTCTAAAATTAATGATGATTTTCACTTACAAATTACAATTAAAAATACGTCAACCAAACAATTCACCTTTTCAATGTCAATTAAAACGAGATTGGTCCAAAGCATGAATGGTATTATTTTCTTTATTCACTAATGATTATTTTGGAGACAATGGCCTAGAAATCTGACAGTGCAGTTTGGGTGGGCGGGGATTTTTTAAAAAGTGACACGTGAATAAGATCTGTATTTATTGCCTAATTGCCCTTGATAAGGTGGCAGTGAGCTGTTGTCGGTGTGGGGGTGTTAATGGTCTGTACACCCCACAGTACTGTTAAGAACAGAGTTCCAGGTGTCCTCTGAGATGGTGGAGGACACGTTTTTGGAAAATGCTGCTGATGGAGGCTTGGCACGTTGCACCTTGATGGTGAGATCTGAGAAACAAAAGACATAACGAACAGATATATTTGTGTTGGTTTGGAGCACTGTGGGACTTTTAGCGCAATCTGAAAGGGTTGAAAGAGTTCTGTAGGCAGGGGATTGATAACCAGGAGACAGCTTGAAAACAATCAGAGGAGAAATGTATTTACAGAGCGAGATATGAGTTGGATTGTCTAAATGTGGAAGCAAATTCAATGGTGACTTTCCAAAAGGAACCCCCTGCATCTCTAAGGGAGACAACACAGGTGGGACTACTTTCATTAGCGCTTTGAAAGACTCTTGCCAAATTTTCTATTCTCTGGATCTTTGGAGTTGGATGTACAGCTGAAAATATGTTGGGTCCTGTACAATTCCGGACACTTGGACTTATGTAAGAATTACCCAGGAAGATTAAACTTTGAAAGGGCAATTCTCCTGCTTCCCAGGAAACCGTACAAATGTCTCTGACTCTAAGCTATAGTCAGAGGTTTGGGACAGTACCACAGAACTTGTCTGGATAACTATCCAGGATTCATTCTGGACCAGAATCTCTAATATTCTAGGTCAGACATTAAACTGTCAACTTACCTTAGGATGATTTCTCAGATCTGACTTGCCATGCAGATTCTATTGAAACAGTCACAGACTACCAATGCTCATAGGCTGCATTGGAGTGAATCTTCCCAGGAGCCAGACCCCATTCTATAGCAATAGCTGCCATCGTTTTAAAATTCAAAAGCCACTTTGAAAAGCTACAGCAAGAAGGTACTTAAGGTGTAGGAGAATGTGAGGAAGGGTGACTGGTGGATAAGGAGGTGGGGTGGCAGATGTGGGAGAGGGCAGCATGACAGAATGGCCAGAGGGAGAAATGGAAGGTGACTGAGTGAATGGGGAGCCAGGTGGGGAAGGGGGTGAGGTAGCAGGTGAATGAGGGGATGGGGTGACAAGTGGGTGAGGGGAGTATAGGATAAGTAATGGAGCTGGTTGCCAAATGGGTGAGGGGCAGGGTGTAGATTTGTGGGGAAGTTGGGAAAAGCTGGGATTAATATGTTTGAGGTGTCCACATGGGAAGTGTCTTGGGTGCCCATATTGGCCGTGTTGGATGGGGGAAATCGGGTTGAAAATATGGCCTAGTGCCCAGGTGGGGAGAGGAGCCTGGAGTCAGGGTGGTGAGGAATAGTCGGGAGTCTGTGTTGGGTGAATTTGGAAATCTGGGTGGGGAGGGATATCAGGAATCAGTGTTGGGTGCCTGCTGTAGAAGGTTCAGAACGAATGGTTCTTGGGGGGTGGGGTGTCAGTGGCATAAGTACCCTGGAGTCAATGCGGGTTTAAATCCCTCTAACATTTCCCAGGATTATTCAGATAAGTAAGTCAAATCTCTTTGAAGTCTCCTGCTCTAACACAGAGTTGAGTACTTTATAGGAGGATCTGGGTGAAGGGTAATTGTCAGTTGGATGTTGAAAATTCCTTGATAATCCCTGTGTAGTCAGTGTGAAAAGCACCTCAGGAGTTCTGAGGAACCCCTCCCTGATGTGTATCTGTTGCATTACGTCCCAGTCTCCAACTGTCCAGGACCTGGGCCAGGAACCACCTAATCCTTGGTTTGTGGTTCTACAGCTTGAAAGTCTTCAGGTTGCCTTCACAGATACATGGTCATTGTGGAGATATCCTGTTGGTCACGTAATCATTCTCACTCAACAAAAAAAGAAACTGCTAACTCAACAATGTGATACCCTCCATCAAGCAGAAAGAATAAGCAACAAAAAAGACAATATAATTCACAATCAGAAGACTTGGATTTTAATCATTACCTTTGCAGTTGGCGTCCAAGCCTGACCAGAGGCTGTTGGACTGACACAGACGAATGCTGGTTCCCACTAGGTCAAAGCCCAGTTTACACCGGATTCCACAGGCGGAATTGTAATAGTTATTGCATGAATTCTGGATGAAGTATCCGTTCTCAGGCGGCTGTAGCTTGGGGCACTGGACCACTATTTGTGCACAGAAAGAAAGAATAATACAACACATCGCCCCATTCACCTCCATTGAACAATCATTCACTCATCACCCCCTTAAATAGTTGCAAATATGCAACATATCTGGAATTATGTCCATTGTAAAACTGGTAATCTGGATTGTGTTGCCTCTTCATCAGGAGATTATTTCATGAAACCAATGAAATTACACGGGGACAATTTCAGCATTGGCCAACTTATGATCCATATCCCCAACTTTACATCAAGCAGCACACTGAAGAACTACCTGACTGTTTACCTGAACAAGATAACATCGGCTAGAATCTAATAACACTTTTCTGTTGGGTGTTACCCACTGCAGTGACCCTGAGAATTGAATTTTCCATTTCTATTGACTCCAGGACAGAGTTGGCAGCCCCTGAGTATCTGGATATCAAGGTAATGTGGTTACAGTTTTCCTGAAGAGTTTTCTCTCTTAACCTTCCTCATGACTCACCTTGACATGTGTGTCCTACAAGTTTGAATCCTTCCTTACAAACACAGTCCTTAATTGACGTGCTCCCTGGTAGGGACGTATAGTTCTCATTAGGGCATGGCAGGCAGGTGCTGATTCCACCAGGTTTTGCTTCCACCTTGTATGTCCCAGATGGACAAGCTAGTGAAAAGGAACACACAATAGGAATGTTAGAATTAGGTACAACCTGCACATACAGTCATAGAGTCATACAACACAGAAACCAGACACTTTGGTCCAAATAGTCCATGCTGGCGATAATCCCAAACTAAACTAGTGAAACCTGCCTGCTCCTGGCCCATTTTCCTCCAAACCTTATCTATTCATGTACTTATCGAAATGTTTTTTAAACATTACAACTGTACCCGCGTTCACCACTTCTTCTGGAACACAGCAGGTACAATAAACAATCAGCAGCGTATGTAAAAAATTAGTCTTTATTGCAAGTGTGTTTGGAGTATAATAGGAAGGAAATGTTGCCACAGGGATTTGGTGAATTCTCCCTTGGTTTACTGTGTGCTGTTCTTGTCTTCTTATCTAAGGAAGGATACTTGCAGTTGGTGTCCAAGCCTGACCAGAGGCTGTTGGATTGACACAGATAAATGCTGCTTCCCTCTAGGTGAAAGCCCGGCGTATACCGGATTCCACAGGCAGAACGCCGCGTAGGTTTGCTTGATTGATTGTTGGGATGTGAGTGTTGTCCCTTGAGTAGAGATCGAAAGCAATGGACCTAATTCCTCATGGGTGTTTCAGAATGAAAGACGCTCTCATTGCACCATATAAAAATTCTTGGAGAGCTTGCCAGAGCAGAGAGGTTTTTCCCTCTGGCTGGAGCATCTAGAATATTGTCCTGCGCTAAACTCCACATCACATTAAGTTAATGTGTTTCTTTCAAACCGTTGGTTTCATAAACATGTAACCATAAGATTTCCCCAGTGCCAAGTTCAGAGTGATAACGATTGACGGTTTGTTAAACAGTGGGTGATCCACAATTAAAATAAAACCTCATGCTGAAAAAGGCCGCTGTGTAATTGATTCCAGACCTGACGCATCTGACTTCTTACAGTAAGCTATTAAACTGAAGTATGTGTGTGTGCAATTTGTTGCGCTTACTGAATCAATCTTAAACACATATTGAATTTATTGTTATCTTGTACTCATAGATCCATGCTTCCTTTGAACTTGCATCCAAAATGGCAAAACTGCCTTAGGGAGAAGAAAAATGATTTTAAAAACAAATCTATGATGAACTTAACATAACTAACTTCATTATGGAACTTTGGGAGAGTTTCGTCTGTTGCTCCAGATTAGGTTTTTATTTTCTGGGTGCAAATTGCATCTTTTGCAGAACTAATAGCACTATATCCCTGAACGCCCTACAGTGTACCACTGACCCTGCTACTTGTTCAAGCTAGCTACATGATCTGCTGACCAAAACCACTCCAAACAAAGGGAGGGAGGATTGTTCACATAGGTTCAGTGATGTGCAACTCCCGAATGGCCTTGTACAATAACACTCCCTTGGGGAATTGTCAATTACCACATACATATTTTCACAAAAAAATTGAGGAGGCAACCTTGCACACTTTGGCTTGGCGGGGTGGGGGGTTGCAAATTTACATTAAAGGGAACTTAGTGCCCTGTTATTTTCCAAGATGGAATTACCAAGTATTCCTATTCTTCCTGATAGGAAAATTTTCCATACTTTAGTTTATTATCTGCTTAGAATGAGGAAGATGGTTCCATTGATCAAACCAGTTCCATTATGCTAATTTTATTTCCCATACAGAAAAGAACAATGCAGTGTGCAACTTGTAATCTGAAACATGTGTTCTAAGATGAACATGCCTAAAAGAACAAAATACAATTTTAGTAGCATATGAAAGGGGTATCCTTGGCACTAGCAATTTTGATCTTATCGTACAATTAAGTCATGCCAATAACATTTGCCTTCAATTAAAGCTGTTTTTCTGAATACAACATTGTATTGAGCTTCATCACAACCTGTGGAGCAAAACAATGTTGCTCTTATGACCCAAAAACATCCACATGGAGTGACTTTCAAAGTTATTAGAAAACAAAAACACAAAATTCTCTGCAATCCTGTCAGCTTGATTCATTGCGCAAACATTTCAAATAATTACACTGGAGTATGAACAATTTGTTTTCCAGAGCTGGGGCTGAGATGGAATTTAGTGCCAGTAAAAGCATGCATGGAGGAGAAATTAAGAGTTTAGTCCTTAAAATAATGCTGAAGCCTCCTTAGACCAGGTCACAGAGACTCCGGGACATGCGCGCGCACACACACACACACACACACACACACACACACACACACACTTACACATAAACATACATAAATGCTACACACTTGCATACATACACATCCAAGTACACGCATACACAAGAATGAGCATATACACATATGCCTCTGCACACACATGTATAAACACATGCATGAAATGCAAATACATGTAAATATACATATAGACCTGCACACACACGGACATGCACATGTCAGTGTGCATGCATGTATGTACATGGATGTATGGATGTCCACAGATGTACATACACAAACTTGTACATACTCACAGTATTCATTCATGTACATACTTGTATACAAAAACATATATGTACACATATGTACACACAAATCCACAGATACATGTGCATGCAGACATTGATTTATGCACACATATATTGATATGTATGTGAACTGGCATGTATGTACAAATTGGTAGACACATTCATCCATACTTAAGTGCATGCATGTATGTACCAATGCACACACGACCCCACAAGCCCATACAATCACATACAAATCCCTTGACTTACACATCACTCCACAAACATTAACACATACTTGCATCATGTAGCTGAAATTATGTTGTGTGTAATAAGCAGTGTTGTTTCAAATAATATCTAATAGTTGTCATAACATAGCCCACAAAGAAATTTCACCAAAGCATGCTAATATACCTTTGAACAATATTTTACAATATGATTCAATCCTTTGCAGTGCTAGGATCAGAAAAAAGTAATCCTTGATAACAACTAAAGACAAATCAATAGAAAGCAGATATCACTTTACCCAAACATTAAAGATTACTAATATCAGCAATTATTTTTTATAACTCCATTCTCCAAATTGGTTTTTGCAACCTCAATTTCCATGATAACAATCTGGACAATTTTAGAACCAATTATATTGTAGTGGAAGTAAATCATCTTCATTACTTGAGGAAGCACCTGAGAATGTGAATAATTTACTCCAGTTTCTCTGTTCAGTGAGCAAAGTGAAAAATTTACATAATTTCCAAGATGTGGAGCTGTATTATGGTCTCTCAACTGTGGCAAAAGCAATGCAGCAAATATTGTAAGGCTGAGAGATAAAACACTGCAATGCTGGGCCTTTCACTAACATCCTTGGAAATTAATGGGTCTCAAGGGCAGATCATGAGGAATTCACTGACAAGACAGGCTGTGAGATATGAAGGCTGAGGGAATTATCAATGGTTACTTGGAAGAAAAATAGAGAAAGACACAAAGTTGATGGAAATTGGCACTAGTCCACAAACCTGGTCGAAAAGAAACATCAGGCAGGATAGGTTGTTGTCTGATGTGACACCCAGCTCGGTAGTTTGTTATAGATCATTCAGGAAGTCTGTGTTCCAATGGTTTTTTGCACCTTTTACATGCATTTGAAGCTACAGACAATGATGTTTGAGGTTCCAACATTCTTTGCATTATGGATGGCTAACCAGAAACCTCTCCCACTCCTTCTGATCTGCTGTTAACATGTGTTGAAAGGGTTTGCCGGTAATGATGCTCAACCTGTTTGGCTACGTTATGAACACATTGTTGGCCGTCAAGATCTTGGCGGTGCTGGGAGTGGGAGCAGTTGGACCCAGGATGTCTGGCTCAGAGGGAGAATGCTGCCCATTGGGCCATAAGACCTCCTAGAATAGAAGAATACAAGTCTGACTAATGGCTACACTCCTGTTTAGGGAAATGGTTCCATTTATTTCTTCACCTCTCTAATAGGGACCTTGGCCGCACATTAATTGTTCCTCCCACAGACTGTCATTGCTGCCCCTCAGGGTATACATAAGACCACTGGTCAACTACTGTCTTGATACTTCTTTGCCAAAGGCATGTTATCCCTCCAAAATCAACTCTGCTCCAGCTGCCATTAACCTCCAAAACATTGTCACACTGCAGCTCTTTCCTAGTTCCAGGAATAAACACAAGTTCAATGCTTTCAACCAGAGAGGACAAAAATTTTCTGTGGATGCTGAATTTCTCCTGTTTGTTATTGCCATCTCACCCTCCGTCAAACATAACTGATTGATTGCATTTAGCATTAAGCTTTTTTGGAAGCTGTTGGTTCATTAAATCTTAGATCAGCACCTCAGATTCATTTATTGTGAGTGAAATGAAGTAACACATAAAAAAATACAAAGCTGTCCAAAATAAAGAAACGCGCTGACAGGTGTCCCAGGAGATTGGACATGGGTGGCCTTGGACCTGGTGTGTAGTTTCCAATGTTTACTGAGATTCTGTTCTTGAACAGCAATTTGCCTATTGACTACATTACAATCTAAATTATACTTTGGTATATGATTAGTTACCTTAGTGAAGGGCACTACAGATGTGGACAAGGATTTTCTTCTCCTGTCTCCACTGGTTTTATGATGGTGTTGGGTAGTAAAGTAGCCCAGGAACTTGTGAAACTTGTATCCCCGACTCAGCAGCAGGGGAGTGCAGGCTCAAACTCACTAGTTGTGGTACTAATGAAATGTGACTTCACATTGTTGTGTACTTTATATCACTCAGAGCAGTTCAGAGATGGTCCTAGTTTCTAAACCTATTTACCAAAAAACCTATTCACATGAACTTTAAAATATCTCAGTGATCACCAAATATCTGCATTCATGCTTACAGTTCAGCTTCAGGTAATTTCTGTGGTGTGTTTACTTAGCTCAGAGTCTATACACAACCAACCAAGTACAGTGAGCATAGATCAGTTATCAGTCTCATAAGCGAACAGAGAACAATCAACTCATTGAACACTACACATACAACACATATCTGTTAATAAGATCTGAGTAAAGGACAAACAGTCATTGGTCCCATCAACT